GGGTTTGTCTCTATACACCGTAAATTAATTGTCTTGATTGATTTTGCCAAAGATATTAGATAAGGGACAGAGATAAGTTCTGTAAGGACCAATAACAAAGTGGATTTTGGTTTCAGTCTGATGGAATAGTCCACTTGTTGCTGGATGATCCAACTTGTACCAATCAAGTTAAAAGAACTAATTTTGAAAGTAGATCTGCTCAACTTCTTGAACAATCGGAAAAACACTAAAAATTGTGTGTGTGTGTATATATATCTATAGCTCTGTGTATCTGACTCTAAATGGACACTTCTCCAATTTCATAAACTTTTCCACACTTATCCAAGTCCAGAAGAAGATGACAGTAATTCAGAATCTACAAGAAATTCACCACACAAACTCCTTGTACATATGCTATTTCTGATCTAGTCTAACAGTGTTTCACTTAAGGTACAATAAGAGACCAGGGGATTGAGAAACATGCCATCTCCCAGGTATGACACAAGTATTAGCATTGAGCTATCAACCCAGGGACCCAACATCTGGTATCAAAAAGATGTCTGTCACATGCAATCAACTCCTCCAACGGGAAATTACTAGAACCAGCCAGTGGATAATAACATCCCTGTATTAAGATAGGACAAGGGAGAGCCAAAGGACAAAACCATAACAATCCCACATACCACTTCTGTGACAGAGGAAAATCGAGGGAAGAAGATGGACAATTCAAAACGTGTGAGGACTTATATTGATCGGTTCTACTCTAAATCCAAAACTCAGCCATGGGGTATGATGAGGGCTCCCAATCATAGAGGTGAACTTCTTTTTGATGTATCACTCTGTCGTAATTGTATATTGCAAAGAGGAGGACAGTACATTATCTACACATGCAGAACACAACCACCCTACTCTGAACTGAATGGTTATAGCCATCTTTGTGTGTCAACCACCCCAGCACCTTGGAACTGGAAATGAGGGTGAAAAGGAGGTGGAGAATCCAGAGGAATGTCATCACCTGAGACACTGCAATGGGTGATCATGAAACCCTATTTTGAAAATCAGACCCTACCAAGCTATTCACTATAGGCATGGCAGGGATGGGCAGCTCTACCCTGCTGCTTTACCCATGCAGTCCATGGGTGGTACGATCTGGGATGTGCATGTTTATGAACAAACTATTGCAAGGTTATTCACCTACAAGCAATTTTGTGAAACATCCCATCTCAATGGTGAGCATTGTGAAGCCATGGAATATAAAGCACAAGTCAACATCAACATGGCTGTACAGTGCAGATTTCAAGTTACAGAATACGTAGTCAGGCACCACTCGCCAAAGAGCAGGATCCATATAATGAAGAATGAAGTAAAGGCCCTGAAAAGAAAAGAATGTAGGAATAGAAATTGACCAGTCAGAGTTGCACTGAAGTCTGAAGAACGGTGACAGGTGGAAGACAAAAACCCGATATGATGTAGATAATGGGAGATGAATGTATTGGACATGGTCCACATGCCTGATTGTAGAATTTCCTCCAATGGATGAGAAGCAAAGGAAAAGGTGATGTGTCTAATCTGATGATAAGACAGCCAAAACAAATTCCAGAAGGAAGAAGACAAGGAGGAATAAGCCAATCAGATCAAAAGTTGGACCCAATTAGTAAGGTTTGAAGGTGAAAGATCACTAAGGGAGGAAGACTGCCAGGGGATAAAGAGTCGGGAACAGGTATCACAGAAGGAAGCCATACAGGGAATATAACAAAGAAGAGCTCTGACTGGACACAAAATCCTATCTGGATCCAATTGAAGGTAAAGATGAGAAATGGAAGGAAGGGAACTAGATGAAAAGGAGGAGCTACCCTCTCAAACTGCCAATGCCTTTGGGAGGAAGGAATGATCTGGATAAGAAGATAGAACCATGTCTGAATACAAGCACAGGGGAGTCACATGCGTCACCTGAGCATATCATGCTCCTATTAGTGGAGAAGTGACACATGAGGATTTGCATGAGAGACATGTTGGAATCTTCTAATTCCAATAGGGGAACAGAAGGCTTGTGGCATGCGTAAAGAAAAAGTTCGCATATAGAGGGCAGCACTGAACGAGAATAGTTTTATTTGCTGGGCTTATATATTAAAATAGAGGGCACCTGGAAAAGACTAGAGTTGCCAAGAAAAGTCATGATCCTTGTAGAAACTCATGACGTATTACCAGCTTCACGTGACTTCCGCTGTCGTAACAATATGTGAGATATTAATGTATGTATGTATGTATGTATTTGGGTGTGTGTGTGTTGTATTATGCATTTAATGTTACAATAATTAATAAGATCAACACTACATATTCAATATAAACATTTACCAATTGTTTAGTAGGCCTATGTTAAAGTAACTGTTGTCAGGAAAGCCAAAAATCTGAAATAATCTAGGTAAAAATATTGTTAATTACCTACCCCAGGTTTAGTAAGGACACAAAATTAAAACATAGGTAAATAGTCTAGTATTCCAAATATTCCTTTATCCCTAAAACTTAGTCCTTACATTAAAAAAAAAAATTTAATGTTGTAATAACAGCTAAATACTTCTGAGTTTTAGACCATGACATCATTAAATAGAATATAAGCCTAACATGTATGAAACTAGGTTGTAGAATCTGCAGTTTTAATGTATAATCAATAAAATGTGAGGATAATACCAGCAAGTCCTAAAATTTTTTGTTATAACTCTGAATATAATACTTAGCTTACATTCACAGAAATTAAGCTACCAAGCTTTAGGCATAAGTTGCATTAATGGAATCTATGTCTTATTGTCTGAAATTAGAATATGCTCAGTTTGGAAAAATAAGTAAATAAAATTAAATAAAAATCCAAAGTCTAGATTAACTAAACTTAGAATATGCTCAGTCTGGATTTTAAAGGAGGACCTACAGGATATTAGGTCTCATAGACTTTTAAAGCCTAGTAATAGTATAAAGACTTGTCACATCAACTCTGGTATTCCTATATGACTGAAAAATAATAGAATATAAGCATATTTAAAAATTTATCTATAAACATGAATAGTTGGAAATGTTTAATACCTATTATAGGCATGGATAATATCAGTTTTTCACGCAAAATATGTTAATAAAAACACCATCAATATTATAGTTAATGTCAATATGTGAAAATACACTCGTATTCTAGTGTTTTACATTGGAAATGCACAATTTCACTTAATTTATTTGCTCTACACTTTATAATGAGTGCTGTGACAGGCAAAAATACATAATCACTCAATATAATGTAATAGATCTCACCAGTACAGAACTGTATAAAACAAGTCAACAAATTCAGGGTTTACATGAGCTGAATCTCAAGGAGGCTGTTTACCTTACATGGATTTACATTTTTGTTTTCAATCCCATAAATCTCTTGCATGAGATAACACAATCCATCAACAAAGAGCTTCTGCTTCAGAGGTTTTAATGAATACGTACTATCAGAGTTTTTCTCAACTGCAGCTATCAATGTATGAGATTGTCGAGGTTCTGAAAGAAGGTAATTACATATTCAAGTGTTTGGTGATTACACAAGTTATAATACACACATATTATATAGTTGTTGTTCTTTTAATAGATTAATATTCTACTTCTTATGTCACTACAGAATCTTAGCTTAAATGAGATTTTTTTTGACAAACCCCAGACTGCCTTAAATTATGTATCATGGCTTTAATATTTGTCTTGTGAGTAGTTCCAAATTTTGTCACAAGGGTTCAATACTGGAGTCATATGATCAATGGTTAGAATTTAAAACAAAATCATTTCTTATATGTTACCTTCACCTTCTTCAGCAACACACTGTACTACTACAGGGAGTAAAATTTCATCTTCAAATCTGCAAGTCAACTACAAAATAAAATAATTAAATTCAATAAATAATGACAACTTTGTGAAGTATCTCAAGGTTAATGAGTTATACCTATTCTTATATAGAAACTTACAGAGCTGACAAGATTGAAGAATGAATTAAACAATAAATCCTTCTGATCGAAATTCTCTCTTGATTACTCCAATGTGTAGACCTGTTTTTCACTCATCTCAGAAACGTTTGTTAGGAAATACTAAGATCTATATTCTAAGTCAGTAAGAATCACACATTTTGTTCCTACTGCTATATCTATGACAAATTTATATCAAGTGTCCATTGCCACTTATATTAGCATTATTCTATCAATTAGCTCAATAACCATGATTATTAAGATTCAAGTTGTGATGAAGTCCAGAGATTACATAACTGTAGAATAGTTACAAAGTACCTTGTGTTAAGTCAGAAAATGAAGATATTCCAACTTATCCACTGTTGGTTTTAATTTTAAGGCACATTAATCTATGATGATAAAACTTCTATCCATACAGATTCATTAATTTATAAGTTTCTTCTCCATTCTCTGCTGTATATGATTGGTTTACTTTTCATAAAAAATTATTAATAATTGATTACTTACATCTTCTTCTGGGTACTTGCTGGGATTGAAAATATGAGACACTTGAACAAACTGCTGGCTAATTCCGCGTTTGTAGTGATAGGTTTCAGAATTCATTGATGGATCTCTGGGTTTGCAGCTATGTCATTATATCAAATTATACTTTGATAATCATTGCTCAATATTTAAGAAAAATTAATTCCTATATATACAGATAACTTAGAAATGGTTTGTCATGTCAAGGCTTAATTTATTTAACATTAAAACAAGAAGAGCAGACACAGATTAAAATTATATTCATAAATATTCTCCACAATACCTTTCTTTTGACACATCAGAACTTCATGAAAAATGTACAATTGTAGCACCCTCTAAAAGTTTGAATTTTCCCATCAAATTAATAAATTCCATCTATTAAAAAACGATCTTCTTAAAAATCATAATGTTTTATCACTTTCTCTATGGCACATGTTATAATCACTTTTTTTCCTATAATGAATTTAAAGATAATATTGAAGAGGCCAAAATTCAAAGGTGAATGTAACATTTCTCCGCCATGTAATCCCAACATGGTCAATTTTGACACCAAAAAAAATCATAAAACAAAGAAAAATTGAAAACTGTCTATATTACTGCTTGGGACCTGCAAAAAAGGTAACGCTGTAGTAAATCACATGTAAGATGATGGGCATATACATTAATAGTTAACAAAAACCCCAAATTGTACTTTCCTCACTTAAAAATTGAGCAAATGATGAAAATTCCAAAATTGTCTCTATCTTTGTTTGGGGCCTGTAAAAAAGTATCTTTGTACCAAATTCCATGTAAAATGGCCAAAATAAGGCAGAGTAATTGCCAAAAAAACACACTAAAATTATGCTTTCTGTGGCATCTTTACCCCCTATGATTACTAAAAATGAACAAGTCCACTATTTTTGCTTGTCAATTTGTGGGACCTGTAGAAAAGCATCTTTGTATACCAAATCACACCTAAATATGTCAAAATACAGCAAAGTAATTGACCAAAAACTCCCCAAAAAATCATGCTTTTTTTGTGAGTTCTGACACCCCCCCCCCAAAAAAAAAACAACAACAACAACAGACTCAAAATGGGCAAATCCAACTTTTTTTGTATAATTATGTGTTGGATGCATGACATATTTGTGCCAACTTTCATCTTGATTGCACACGAGTTGTTTTATCTTTGACCCCATAAAATCCTTAAAATGACCTAAATCAAAAAAATGAAGAAGGGTACTGGACATATTGGACTAAGGTATAAAACTAGCAAGTTTCAAGTCAATCCACGAAGAATGAAGGAATGACAATCAACTGAAAAGTGTTTGGAAGAAGAAACAATATAGAGACTGTCTCTGTAGAGACATAATAACAAACAGGTGTGTGGTATAGGTCACATTTACTTTTCCTGTAATAAAATTAATAATTACAGTCAGGTAGATGATATTTTGCCATAATAAGGTTCATAATTACAAACAGTTGGATAGCATAGGTTACATGGATCCCACTAAGAGAAAGATGAGTAACTCTTATAAAGAAAGGCCTACACTATGCCAGATATCGGATAGATCTTACTCGTCATAATATTTCAATTGTAAAATGATCAGAAGTGTGAAGAATTAATATAAATCTAAGTTATAACAGACATTCTACAGGAAGAGGAGATCTGTAATGATAAAAAATAATAATAAACCAAAAAAAGTATTTCTTTAAAATTATTTTAATTGTGTTGAAGACATAAAGTCAGGACTTGAAAATTCACCCAATTCCTCATATCGTTTCACTGAAGCTGCTAAACTGTAAGATTTTTTTTAGCTTTATGGGCTTGTAAAAAATACTCAGTGTGTTGACTAACAGAACTTGAAATAACTTTATTTATGCACTTCATATTAACTCCCTTAGTCCAAAGAACATCAAAGCACCATTACACTTCTTATTCAAATCATTTTCATTGAAGCTGAAGACAAATTGCTATAACTTTTCAGTAATTTGAAACTTACAAATATCCTTGAGCCGTTACCTCTTCAGCACAGAAGTAACAGATGGTAATGGCACAGCTCACATCTGAATCAAATGTGAATTCTATGTTATAGTCAGTGCTGGATTTAAGACTTCCTTCCTCAGTATCTTCTGAAGGCCTGAAGTGAAATAAGAAGTAGAATAACTAACTCTTACTGTTTTACTACAGAGAGAAGCTGAAAGTACTTGGTGGTCTGAAACATTAAAAAATATTCATTGCCCTTCCTTTCGCTTCGGTGAAGATCAACTGGAAAGGTTCATGGTAAAGTAAAAGTGTGTAAAATCACCAAACTTTCCTTTGTTAAGGTCCTGTTTTGCAGATAGAGCAATCTTTTACCAGATGATGACAAAACCTTGTCGAAACGTTGTACATTTGCTGTTATGTTAAACTTATATTAAACTTTTTCTTCATTACCCATTCAAGCCGTCTCAGCCATTATTAGACTCAAAGTGGGTTCCTCGTCACCGAATTTGAACCCACCTTCTATATTTTGCCTTGAGATCAACAACATACATGTAGTTAGTTGACACAAGTGTATATAGTCATTACACAGAACTCAGTTTACATTATACTCTACCAATAATTAATTTGAATTGGTGCATAGTTTTCCTTACAGTATACATATAACTCCTGTTAGTATTGTTGTCCGCTTGACTGACTATTGTACGTACAGCAGTTTCTTACCTAGATATGCTATAGTTAGAGAGACAGTTAAAATATTTAGGCCTTAATGTTACATTTTAGTTAATTATGTATTACGTTTGTTTTAAAAATCATACTTGGAATGTTTAATGATTTAAACAAGTTTAACTTGTTGCCTGGATTTTGAAAAGTTATAAACAAGATGGCATGTTTAAGAACCATCTTGTTTCAGCAATGCATCTCTGTGGGGAGTCTGCCAAATTAACTTTGTAAAACCCCAGGGGGAATCAGTTAGTGTAGGGGCATAAATGATAATAGACATAAAATTTAAAAGGAAAATTAAAAATAAACTATAACTGAAAAGATAAAGATTTTAAATTACACATATAAAAAATTCCACTATTCTAATGAATTTCTACAATGATTTGAAAGGTATGTACATATTTCCATTTGGTAATTTCATTGCACTGTATGGTGATAATAATAGATATAGTTAGTGATATGGTAGAGAAAATGGAAAATAAAATTTAAATATTTACCTTAAAAAACTTTTGATATTCATTTATGAGATTCTACAAATGAAATGTAAAAACTGTAAAATAAAAATAGTATTTTTATACTTCATATAAAAATCACCTTGTAGGTGAACTACTCAAAGTACAAGTGCAAATAAATACATTAAATAATGACTTTTTCATTATAAATAGTAAAAAAAAACAAAATTAAATGTTATATTTTTCTGAAACTACATACTTTTAGGAACATTTTTGTCAAATTTAAACAATTTCATCCACTAGTTTTATTTATGGAACAAAATATAACAAGTATGATGGCAGCTATTAAAACATTAGTAGCCGGCAGTCATAGGGTTAAACTCCAACTATACACTGGCAGGTATTCTAATTTAATTAAGATTTGTAGTTGTGGATCCTCAATCTCACACGAGACACTGACTGATATTCCAGTTTAACCTAAATGTGTAGTTGTGGCCCCTTAAACTCACACAAGACACCAGCTGATATTCCAGTTCAACTGAATTGTGTAGTTGTGGCCCCTCATATACACAAGACACTGGCTGGTATTCTAAGTTCAGTTGAAATGTGTAGTTGTGGCCCCTTAAACTCTCACTAGACAGTGACTGATATTCCAGTTCAACTGAAATGTGTACTTGTGGCCCCTTAAACTCACACAAGACACTGGCTGATATTCCAGTTCAACTGAAATGTGTACTTGTGGCCCCTTAAACTCCCACGAGACACTGGCTGATATTCCAGTTCAACTGAAATGTGTACTTGTGGCCCCTTAAACTCACACAAGACACTGACTGATATTCCAGTTCAATTGAAATGTGTTGTTGTGGCCCCTTAAATTCACACGAGACACTGGCTGATATTCCAAGTTCAATTGAAATGTGTAGTTGTGGCCCCTTAAACTCACACGAGACACTGACTGATATTCCAGTATAACTTAAATGTGTACTTGTGGCCCCTTAAACTCTCACTAGACACTGACTGATATTCCAGTTCAATTGAAATGTGTTGTTGTGGCCCCTTAAACTCACACAAGACACTGGCTGATATTCCAGTTCAATTGAAATGTGTAGTTGTGGCCCCTTAAACTCACACGAGACACTGACTGATATTCCAGTTCAACTGAAATGTGTAGTTGTGGCCCGTTAAACTCGTACAAATTAATGGCTGATATTCCACTGGCCTAAACTAAATTATCATGATTCAAGGTCCTTCTGGCAATGAGAGAAAATAAATTTTAATGACTTATACCAAGAATTAGTAAATAAGTTTTACTGGGCCTAATGTCTTGAAGTAGATGTTTATAAAACGTGTGTACTGAATCACATTACAAATTACCAACTCCATTTAATGTTTTCACTTTATTACATACACAGTTCATAACTTGCATGGTCATTACTGTGGAAGACGAGCTTTCATTAATCAGAACGTACTTTACAAAACGCAGAGACTCCTTTCTAATATTCATCAAACTTCTCAACGGAAGGGTTGCTTCACATGTTTGAGGAGCGGGGTATGGAAACTGCCAAACCACAAGATAAAGCACATTAGAAACAAGAATCTTCAACAGAACCAACATTTTTGTACATAATTAGTAGATATTTCTTGTTGTGTCTCAGTAACAATCAACACAATCTGACCTTTTTTTACTTACACAAATACTATATATTTTCATTTGTTTCTCAATAACAATCAACGTAACCTCAGCTTTTTACATAGGTATTAGATATTTCCTTTTGTCTCTCAGTAACAATCAACATAACCTTATCTTTTTAACATAGATACTGGATATTTTGTTTCTCAGTAACAATCAATGTAACCTTAGCTTTTTAACATAGATACTGGATATTTTGTTTCTCAGTAACAATCAATATAACCTTATCTTTTTAATACAGATACTGGATATTTTGTTTCTCAGTAACAATCAATGTAACCTCAGCTTTTTACATAGGTATTAGATATTTCCTTTTGTCTCTCAGTAACAATCAACACAATCTGATCTTTTTCTTATATAATTCTTGAGTATTTTCTGTTTTTTTCTTAATAACAATCATCATAACCTTAGCTCTTTTACACAGGTACTAGACATTTTGTTTCTCAATAACAATCAACATAACCTTAGGTTTTTACATAAATACTGGATGTTTTGTTTCTCCGTAACAGTCAATGTAACCTCAGATTTTTTTACATAGATACTGGATATTTTGTTTCTCCGTAACAATCAATGTAACCTCAGATTTTTTACATAGATACTGGATATTTTGTTTCTCTGTAACAATCAATGTAACCTCAGACTTTTTACACAGATACTGGATATTTTGTTTCTCCGTAACAGTTAACATAACCTGACATTTTTTCCCCATATTTACTGGATATTTTGTTTCTCGTTACAGTCAACATAAACTGACATTTTTTCCATATTTACTACATATTTTCTGTTGTTTCTCAGTAATAATCAACAAAACCTGAGATTTGTTTACAGTTATTACATAAAGCATGAAAATAAGCAAGCTTACAGTATTACAATTACAACGTTTCCATGCCTTGTTTCATGTAATGATAGAAATATCATAGTTAGTATAATAGTCAATCTAAGTGAAGCATTTTAGATCTCAGTAAATGTATTACACTAACATGCATACACTTTCGTTTGTTTCTGGTGCATATATATTTTAATGAAAAATAATTAAAGCACTTTTAAACTCATATTAAATTTTACAACACTTACAGGTGTTGGTTTCCCTCCTAAAAAGTTTAAGTCCATGTTCTCCCCAAATAGGTAGGCTTCGGGCTGGGTTATCTCAAAACGCTCTCCTCCCATGATGAAATGGCTAGAAAAATAATTACCTACAAAACCACAGAAGTTACTTCTTGGTAGTTTTTCATTACAAATAAATAAAGAACAAAGAGTATTTAAACAAATCCATTTTTTCCATTAACAGAATAGTATTAATTTTAGTTACAGCAATCAGAAATAGCTTAATGAAATATTATTAATATCTGATATGTGATTTGGAAGAAATATTTAGTTGGCAGAACATTTATAATACATTAAAATTCTTTATAAGTTTTATCTATTTCTTTGGTCAACATTATATTGCATTTATTTAATAGTCTCTTTATTCATCTGATGATTAGTAAATACTTAAAGAATTGATCATTTATATTTTATTACAATACAGGAGTTTAACATAATGTAAATAATGTGTTAACGTGCCTTGTACAAATAGAGCTGTTTTTTTACTGATAACCAAAAATCAATGATAAACACAATAATTAACATAATCAACTGTTTTTTATTTTATTTTAGATTCTACAAACCAATCTTTACATTGAAATCTAATATCTACTTAAACCTAAAATAACAGACCTTGTTGTACACAAAAGTTAAGAGTAATGTAATGAAAATTTTTTATATATGCTACTAATATGGTGCTTTGGTTTAATTAATTTGGATAGACCTTTTATTATGAATAATTAGTTCAGATTTCAAGCATACCCAAAATAATAAACATAATATAAATGTACATAAGTACATGTATGTTTATTTAATAATTTTCATTATGTTACTTTCAGAGTTTATGAAAAGCTATTTAAAATTATCTTTTGCATTGGCTTCTTTAAAATAAAAAATAGCAACGTTTTGATTAGTAGTTTAGATAGTCTTACTTAGTTTTCTCTTTTATAACATGACATTTCGGTCCTTGTACAAGGCACAAACAAAACATATTTCATGAGATTTTACACTTTGTTCAATGTATCTAGAGGCAACTTACTGGATCCTCATTAAGGTCTGCATCTGTCATATAACTCAGTGATTTTTAAAGAGACATTTTCAGAAAATGAAGTCTTAGAGGTAGAATATGCACGGACTGATAGACAGGGATACATAAGCCAGAAAGATTGGAAATGATAGCCCTAAACAATCAATAAGTGAATGTGACCTATTTTTGTTGAAGCTTTACCTGATTTTGGAGGGTAACGGTATATGTAAGTGGCTCCCATCTCATTTTCCTCAATTCTTGCATTCTGACGGCTTGCTAAAATTCCCATGATGTTTTCTTTCCCTGAGGATTTAGTATGAAAGGCAACAATTAGCAAAAGAAACATTGCAGAAAATATCTGATAATGCAATTCATAAGAATACACAAAATTATCAAAAAAGAAAAAGTTAGTCATTCAACCAAAGTTTAATAAAATGCAAGAAGTCACACAATTAAATGTAGTATTTTTCAACTCACACAGCAAACAGTACTTCACTGATAATCACTTCCTTAACCCACCATCTCAATGGTGAAATATATCCTCCACAAACCCACCACCCCAATAGTGAAAGATCCACTTTATAAACCCACCACCTCAATATTGAGGTGATGAGTTTGTGGGGTGGATCTTTCATTATTGAGGTGGTGGGTTTGTTGAGTGGATCTTTCACCATTGAGGTGGTGGGTTTGTGGAGTGGATCTTTCACCATTGAGGTGGTGGGTTTGTGGAGTGGATCTTACACCATTGAGGTGGTGGGTTTGTGGAGTGGATCTTACACCGGTGTAAGATACACTTCATAAACCCATCACCTCAATGGTGTAAGATCCACTCCATAAACCCACCACCTCAATTGTGTCAGCTCCACTGCACAAACCCACTACCTCAATAAGGAAAGATCCACTGCACAAACCCACCACCTCAACTTTGGACTTTTAAAACATGTAATAATGATAACAATCAAGTCATTACTTATAGTCCTATCATAACAAAGACAGTCATAGATAGTCGTGGGTGGCCAAAGAATTAGAAAGCATGGTAAGGATAAACATCATATTCAACGGAGTCTTATCTGGAACAGGCGATAAGATTCACATATCTAGGTCAAATCATTATGGATGGTAAATGTGACACAGAGATAAGAAGGCAAATAGAAACAGCAAGAAATACCTTTTGCAAAATGAGAGAAGTCTTGGCAGCAAAAAGCATTAGCATCGAAATGCAGAAGAGACTAGCTAGATGCTATGTACTGTCTACTTTTATATATGCTGGTGAAATGGACAATCAACAAGAATATGGAGAAGATCAATGCATTTTAAATGTGGATATTCAGAAAAATGCTGAGAATATCTTACAAAGACAGAGTCACCAATAAAGAGGTACTTAGAAGGATCAAAGCTAGAAGAACATTCCTCAATACATTAAAACAATGAAAGTGTAGATATTATGGTCATGTGGTCAGAGAATAGGCAATACAGGGAACATTATTGGAAGGCAAGGCCAATGGAAAGAGACAAAGGGGGAGACCAAGAAAGAATTGGATGAAAGACATATGTGAATGGGTACAACTGGACTATACAGGATGCACCAGAGAAGCACAGGAAAGGAAGATATGACAAACCTTTTGTAACAGGAATCCTGATCATAAAAAAAGACTGTCATTGTTACTGTAAAGTTACTGAGGCTATCTGCCACTATCACTAATTTTGAACTGTTGACTAGAGGGAGGGTAACTGGATAGTAGCTCCTACCATCAACTTTCTGGTTACTTCAGTATTAAATAAAGTGTAAATTTGCTGCTTTTTGACATGGTGTTATGTTTCTAATTTATAATTTCATAACTACTATTTACTGTTGTCGTAGGCACAGATCTGGAGAAGGGGCTCAAAGGGTCCAGGCCTCCCATCCATTTTTGTACCAGAAATAAATAACTACATTATTTAATGTTGTATAAGCAGGCACATATTTAGGAGAGGAGTTGAAGGGGATCAAAACCCCACCTGATCTTTTCCATCTATTTTTCATAAATGAATAACAGCATTATTTAATGTTGTATAAGTGAGCATAGATATAAGTAGTAATCTGAACCCGTCCATTTTTTCAGAAATTAATCATAAAACAGCCATACAGTATCAAAAACAAAATATTTGGTGTCAGTATTTTTATTTAACAACTGATTATTTCTTAACAAATACAGCAATATGAATATCAATTAAATGTTGTTATGGTACAATTTTCACATTTTCCAGACACTAACAACGTGTGTGTGTGCCATAGACTTTAGTGATTAGTTCTGCTATAGACATGTGTGGCTATCATAACATATACTTATTACAAGAATCAGATAAAATAGGTAAGCTTACACAGTTAAGAAACAGGTTGAATGGGTAACAAAGAAAACTTTATTAAAAGTTTAACACAATAGTGTTTGTAGAAGGTTTTGTAATCATCAGGTTAAAGTAGTTTACCTAGACAGTAAGAAGCAAAGAAGTCACATGACCAGAAATTGCTTACGGTTTAATAAATGTATCTTGATATTTGGTTCTTTCTTTGAAATTATGGTGTTTTTACTGTTTAACAGATATAATATGGTTACACTGAGGTTTGTAAACAATAGAATTTTTAATATGTTCACTATATAAAATAGAATTGTCATCACATCAGACATATTTACTGGTTAGTGAATATTGTACGCTACTGTAAAATATTATGATGACTCAAGTCTTTATTAAACATTGTTTTCATATTTATCCTCATTAAACAATGTATGTAAATAAATCAGACTGCCTAACTGACTACTTAATAATTTTTAATTGTAATTGTGACACATTGTAAATAAAAACATTTTTACTCTTACCATGAGAGTAAAACATGTTTTTGTTATTTAAATATCAATTTATATAATTTACAGAAGTTCAGTGTGTGATTACTCCATGTTTTAAACACACACACACACACAGTGGTGATCTCTTATCAGTATTTAGTACATATTAACGATTCATCCACAAATTGAGAAATGCCAATAAAACTTAGAAGAAAATGATGCTGTACATAACTAATGTGCAATTATCAATAGTCAAAAAATGCTATATTCAGGCCATATGTAACTCATGAAATTATCAATTGTGAAATAATGCTTTAATCAGGTTATATGTAGCTGATGTGCAATTATCAATAGTACAATAATGCTATAATCAGGTTGTATGTAACTTATGTACAATTATCAATAGTGAAATGCTGTAATCAGGCTGCAACTGATGTGCAATTATCAATAGTAAAATAATGCTATAATCATGCTATATTCAGTTACAGCCTGATTACAGCATTATTTCACTATTGATAATTGCACATTAGTTATGTATAGCCTGATTACAGCATTATTTCATTATTGATAATTGCACATCAGTTACATATAGTGTTATTACAGCATTATTTCACTATTGATAATTGCACATCAGTTATATATAGCATGATTACAGCATTATTTCACTATTGATAATTGCACATTAGTTATGTATAGCCTGATTACAGCATTATTTCATTATTGATAATTGCACAGCAGTTACATATAGTGTTATTACAGCATTATTTCACTATTGATAATTGCACATCAGTTATATATAGCATGATTATAGCATTATTGTACTATTGATAATTGCATGTCAGTTACATATAGCCTGATCACAGCATTATTTCACTATTAATAACTGTACATCAGTTAAGTATAACTTGATTACAGCATTATTTCACTATTGATAATTGCACATCAGTTACTGTGCAATTATCAATAGTGAAATAATGCTGTAATAAAAAAAACTGCATTTGTTGCATGATAGCCTAATATTCCTTAGCTTTTTAACTTGTTTTGTAAATATTATATAGAATAAAATATATATATATATATATATATATTATATAGAATAATGAGTTCCCACTGAAACCTTTATATGTGAGTGATATATATGCCAATTATAATGCATTTGATTTTGTATATTATTAAAAATCAGATAGTGTTTGATATGATGACTTACAATATTACTTATTTATGATAAACAATGTGAAAATGTGGCACTTGTATACAACACTGGCTTTTTTGTTGTTGTAAGGCTGAAGACAAAGCATCAACTGGTTCATTTTCATATAATTTACATTACTTAAATAAATTAATGTATACAAGTTGTTAAGATTGAAGAACAACACATAATAAGTAAAATATTTGAACAAATGTTTTCTGACCAGTCAAATTCCCATCCTTGCATGGTACATTTCATTTCAATGTTGCAAGATCTAATGATCATGATGACACAAACAAAGTCTATAGAGTGTCTAAACATTAAAATCTATGTCTGAAGTATCCAACTGACTCCGCTTGGCAGCAGCTAGTACTTCGCACTTACAAGATGTATTGGGCTGTGTATAATTTGAAGCATTATCACTTATTTTACCTTGTCATCAAATGTGGATTTCTGTAATCTTGCTTTAAAACCATAGTTATGTTTTTCTCTAGCTTTCTGGGGATCCCTGGCCTGTTTCTAAACATTGTGGGAAATTCCTATAGCATTTAAAATGAAAAAAACTGTCTGGAACATGTGAATGGTGGGATTTATCCAAACAAAGAGTGATAAACATTAAAATCTCAATTGAGAAATATTGGTCAGTATTAAAACAATAACCTCAAATCACATTATTTTGTGTGTGTGTGTGTGTGTGTGTTTGCTTGAATAAATATAAATATTATGTACATTCCAGGAGTGATACAATCAAACATTACTGTTATAAATTAAAGAGTTTTGTATAATGTTACACATTCTGAATTTCAGACTTTGGTGCATATATATACATTTGTATTATAATCACATCTTTATGAACAGTTCTCCTGTCACTTAATTCTATTTTGTCAATAAATCAGTTTGCATATACTAGAGTTTTTCATCTTTTCTTTGACAAATTTATGTGCAAAAATCAAAATCATAGTTACCAATCATAATGTTATTCTAAAAAACAGACTCCTGATTCTCAGATCTGAGAAACCGAGATGAAAAAAAACCACTGAGAGCAATAGTTTATGTACTCCACCAAAACATCATCCACCATATCATAAAATTTGAAATAATTTTCAATTTCAATAGTAAAACACTTAGCTGAACTTAAACTTTTAAAATATATTTTTCTTCACCATTTCTTTAAATTTAAGCTTTAAGCAAAATCAGATTTAGTTTATTGGTATATTTATTTCTTTAAAGACGAAAACAAAATTACAAATTCATGTTCAAGTTTCAACCAGTGAGTGACAATGAACATTAACTAGCTATAAATAATAATCTATTGAAACAGTGTACAGTAAGCCTAACAATAACTAAAAGTGTCAGTGACACCATTAAAAAGTTGCAACTGAAGAAATAAAAATTTGAAGTCACACTCACAGAAAAATGATAAAACAGTAAAACTAAAACTTTCAATTTAGAATTACAGTGCGGTATCTTAAAAAGTCAAATACATGCCTTATCTATCTAAATAATAGAAATGTTTATATATACAGCATATCTTACATTAATTATTAATAACATTACCACATGTAATTAAATAACTTCGAGTTCGACGCTGACATAAAATAAACTTTACTGTGTTTACACCTAACTGTTTCGACGCATGTTAGATGACTTAGATCTATAGGTAACATAAAATGTTTTCATAAAACTAGTGGAACTATTTCGCCATCTTACGACTATACACAATATTTCCTGTTTAAAAATAAATCACACTTTTCACTTAAGAATATGACAATGTAAAATTTTCAGAATATGAATATTTTCTCAAGCTCACATATTTCAGCCAACATCATTATGACCCTACTAAACTAATTTTGAACCTCCCGATATCTATACTTACTTATAATCACCAACTTACATTGACAGCTAAATAGGACTACAGTCCTGTGCAAAGTCAATATGACCTTGCACTTTGTTGTTGTCAACATGTTTATAAGCCGTGTTTTTAAATATCATTCATATCAATACAATATTTTTGTAGGTTATATTTTTAATCACGTAATTTAGACGATTTTGCTTCCCAGAGGGAGTTTGTTTGTTTGCTTGTTGTGAATTTCGCGCAAAGCTACA